TTCTCAGGATTTGCGGCTGAATCCTCTCAACCTGCCCCTCATTCCCTATCCCCCACCCCTCATTCTCATTGTTTGCCAGTCAACATCCCTCCCTGCTCCTCATCCCCTTTCCCCCTCCCCTAATTCTCCCTCCCTGCCCCTTATTCTCTGTGCTTGCGCCTCATGATCCATCCCTGCACCTCATTTTCTGTCCCCCACCCCTCCCTCTCCCTGCCTGCCCCTCATTTCCATTGTTTGTGCCTCATGATCCATCCCTGCACCTCATTTACTGTCCCCCACCCCTCCCTCTCCCTGCCTGCCCCTCATTTTCATTGTTTGCGCCTCATGATCCATCCCTGCACCTCATTTTCTGTCCCCCACCCCTCCCTCTCCCTGCCTGCCCCTCATTTCCATTGTTTGCGCCTCATGATCCATCCCTGCACCTCATTTTCTGTCCCCCACCCCTCCCTCTCCCTGCCTGCCCCTCATTTCCATTGTTTGCGCCTCATGATCCATCCCTGCACCTCATTCTCTGTCCCCCACCCCTCCCTCTCCCTCCCTGGCCCTCATTCTCTCTCCTCACCCCACTTTTCCCTTCCTGCCTCTCATTCCCCTCCCCACCCCTTCATTCTCCCTCCCCACCCCTCATTCACCCTCCCTGCTCCTCATTCTCCGTATTGGCCTCTCAGCATCCTTTCATCCTCCTAATCCTCTCCCCCCCACCCCTCATTACCCTGACCTGCCCCTCCCTTGCACTTCTGTGCCTTCGACAACCAGGCCATGAAGTCCCTGTTGCGCGATTCCCGCAACGCTCGAGGACTCGTCACAAGAGCTCATCGGAAGATTGTGAATAACGTTCGTGTCTACGACGCACCCGAGACGGCAGATTTTTGGAACAACGTCCAGGTATGTTGCGGGTTGTTGGTTGGGCCATCGCCATGTGTTTCATTTTCGCTCACCTCACACTTGTTATTTCCCGGCACCACCATTTGTCGACCCACTGTTTCGCCAAACAGGATAAGCTTGGACCGGATGATGTTGTTGCAACCATCATTCTCGCCTCAGACGAAACGATGATGGACTCAAGAGGGAAGACTAAAGGACATCCCATCTACATGTCGCTGGACAACATCGCACGTGAGGACCGTTGGAAACCACACGGTCATGCGATGATTGCATTGCTGCCGGAGTTTCCTCCTGAGTACACATCACTTGACCGTCTACAAGTATTCCATAAGGTTCTTGGAAAGGCTTTACAGCCCCTCAAGGCCGCCAGTCATGTGTAAGTTTGTGTTCATAGGTATTGTTAGCCCAACAACATTTGTGAGTGAATGGATTTTGCTACAATATTTACTAACCTTTTTGCTTTCCTTTTGCACGTGTTCTAAACAGGGGCGCTAGAGTGGAAGACGCATCGGGCCATTCATTCACCGCATACCCTGCGCTGTATGCTTACATCGCAGACTACCCAGAGACGTGTAAGATAACAACTTACCCCTGCTCACTATGCACCGTCCATAAGAATGACCTGGCTGAATACCAGACACACTTAAAATGGCGCACCGTCCAGCAGCAACAGGACATTTGCACAGCTCTAAAGGCACCAAGACGACGTGGGGAGGCAGCAGTGGAAGACCTTTCAACCCATCCTGTCGAGGTCAGTTGTTCATGGTGTCTAAGTTGGTTTTATCATATGTTTCACCTTTCCTTACCTCCGCTTCCATTCATTTGGCGTCGCTTGTCTATGCAGAGCGCACTCTGGGGATGGAGGTTTGAGTCGGAGCAATGGGGGAACCCATACCTAGCAGTCATGCCGGATCTCATGCACCAAGCGGACTTGGGCATTCTCGATCATATCCTCACAGCCTTGCGTGAGATCATACCCGAATCAACACGTGAAGCAATCGATAGGTATGTACTATTGCAATGATGGCAACGTTGGCTCATGTGTAACCCTCCACATCTAAACACCTACTCACTACTTTGTTGTTCTGTCCATGTTTCAGGTGGCTCAAATACCTCAAACATATTTGTAGGTGGGATTCATTACGGCTGCCGTCTGGGCAATACTTCAAGCTAGGTGCTTCCTACCAAGCGTATGAGCATCGTTCAGTGATGCAACTTGTGCCATTTCTCGTCTCCTCGCACATCGCGCAACCGCAAACGGACGCTATCATATCGTACCTTCGTTGGTACACGGAGTGCGCAAAGGCAACAACATACGACGACAACACCCTGAAAGAGTTGCAGGAGCTAGCCGTGAGGTAAGAAAACCTACTTGTTTGCATCAAACGTTGCTGAACTCGGTTCTCTAACGGGTGTTTGTGCTTTCCTTTGTCTGCAGGATGATCGATCAACTAACAACCGCGTTTAAGCAAACTTCAAATTGGAGATTCATCGAGATGCACCTGATAAGCCATTACGTCGAAGCCATCCGTCGTGCGGGCCCACCCATTCACTACGATGCCAACATTTCCGAGTTCTTCCACAAGGACCACATAAAACGGCCTTATCGTGCGTCCAACAAACGTGATGTATCAGGGCAACTTGTGCGCGCAGAGGAGACCAAACTTGCAGTGGATTCTCTTGGTGCGTCGGAAGTGACAGAGACGCATTACAACACCGCTATGCGCGAGGTGAGTCAAGGCAATTTGATGCAAATCTCAACAATTGCTTGTGCCATCACTAACGCCTATCGTTTCAATGTGCAGGCAATGGCCACTGGCAGGCGCATCATGGGACGATCGGCATGGCCTTTGACTGTCTTGGGAGGCCGTCGTGAGGCACCGTTCGTAAGTTTCCCAATTCCCTCGAGGGTGCGTGACGAGAGATACGTCACTGCATTGGGTGACGACCTCCGACACCTAAGGCAAGCCCTTAACCGATTCTCAGAGGCCACAAAGAACGCAACTACCATTCATGTGCACAATGAGTTGGCCATGCCTCCTGCTACGCACCCATCGTTTAGACCCATTCCACATCGGTTACGTGCCGTGCCTGTGTTTCACGGACGTGGATGGTTTTCCGACGTAGCCATTCATGGCTCCGGTGAGTGGTACGCGAAGGTGCTCCTCCTGTTTCACATTGGGCATGGGAGGGATCGTTGCGACTATGCGTTTATCAAGTACTACGACGCACTTCCAGAGCCAGACGAGAAGACCCACTGCAAGCAGCTCAAGTGGGCTGCAATGAATCAGAGATATCGGGTGGTAGAGACGACGAGTATACTGCGTGCCGTCCACCTTGTGCAGCCCCAAGCTAGTGAACCTTTGTGGTTGTTGAACCATTTTATATTTTGAAGCGTCATATCATGTAGTTGTACATATTTGATCAAGCATATACAAGACATGCTCCCATAGTTTGCACCACACATCATGAATAATCATGTTATAGTTTTGTTGAGCTATTCCCCATATTTAAAACATCCATAGTGTAGTGCAGATCACAAACAATGCGCCACTTTTGTGAGTTCTATAATGCGCCACGTGGCGGGACCCCTCGAACCGATCGCTGTGACCACAAAATAGATTCTCTTTGCAGCTCGGGGTGCATCTGTGCAGAACGTTCGATGGTGCGCGGGCCGAGGGATTCGCCAGAATTCGAATCGTGGTTCGCGGTACAGCCTGCGACTCGCACTAGTCTGCGATTCGCACGATTCTCCAACGCATTGCTTCATGGTTTGAACAACCAATGAAATCAGTTCGTTAGGTGTGTTGAATCGGCATATATGACTGCTTGTGCGACGGATCAATCGTCGCACACAGTTTTCCAACCAATCCCCCCAATCGTTCCCGCACGCTCAGCATGGCCAATCAGCTCGCTGCCACTGGTGCCCCCCTAACCCAGGCCCGCGTCAATCAGGCTCAAGTTCCTGGTCGTCCTCAACGCCAACTCACGACTTCAGTTCGCCTGGCTGGTCACGACACTAGTGGTTACAAGCCACCAACGAAGAAGACTGGGGGGTCCAGCACTCGCCAGGGTGCTGGTAACAAAGAAATTCCTCGCAACCCTGAGCTGCAAGAAATGTCTCGTGAAGATCTTGCTGCACTGAGGGACAGGCTGAACGCGGAATTGCAGCGACAAGAAGCCAGCACCGCACACCAGTCACTTCCCGACCCAAACATTGCAGAAACAGCCGCGGAGGAGGAGTCTAACAAAAATCCCGCAACAGCAGATGTTGCCGCCAATACGTCTCAGCCTGACGCCGATCCGGAGGATAACCAACTCAACGCTCTAATCGACGAGGGCGAAGGTCCTGGCGAGGGTGAGGAGCAGGACGAGGGTGAGGGACATCCAGACGAGTGCGAGTTAGCCGAAACTCCCATTGTACTGCCTCAGGACGATCCGGCCGAGGATGACCGTCCTGAGAGCCGAAGGCGCAGCGCCGATGTCGCTGGCCTCATGGGCGCTGACCCAGCGGCTCACGCGTCAGCACGTGGGAAAAAGCCGAAGCAACCAGGTTAGTAACTTCTGTCCGGTTTCTGTATTTTTGCAAATTGACGTTTGTGCCACATAGTTTCGTCCAGGCAACCTACTAACCTACTTTTTTCTGTTCTTCCATTTTGTTTTTTACCTTGCAGCTCGACCGATTCCGGATAATGAGCAGGTGGCACAGAACCGCGACATGGAGCGGACGATTGCGCAACAGGCCGACACACTCGCGGCCCTCCGTCAGCAGCTGGAAGAACAGGAACAGGAGGCTGCACGAATGCGAGCAGTCGTTGCTGCCCGCCAGCCGCCTGCCCCAGCAACGGGAGGTAGCCCCGGCCCATCATCTTCCAACAGCCGGAGTACCGGAGCTGGCGCTGGTTTGCTGCACGCAACTGCGCAGCGCAGCAGCCCGCCCTCGACCACCAACGCGCCTGGGCCATCGACGGCTCCAGTCGTGCAGGAGGGTGCGGCAATCCCCCCTGTGCTCCTGGACCTATCATTTTTCAAGGTTAGTGTGCTGGGTTTTTAAAGTTCGTACTGTTGACTTTGTATCTCTCGTTAACTGACTGACTCGTTTTTAATTCTAACAAATGCCTATTCTTCGTTGTCGTCGTTATGTGCAGCAAAAGTGCAACGACGCGGTCAACTACTTCATAGCGGGAGCTCCAGCGAGAGAGCAGTCATTTTACCCCTCCCTGGCACAGCTTAGGCGCAAAGTGCAGGAGCTGTACGAGGACGTCGGGGTGCCACTTGACATGTTCAACCGGGTGATGGCGGAGAATCCCGAGCGCGAGCGCATCATGCTGCAGAAGATGTCGGAGCGCCGTTGCAACATCTACGCGGTGGTTAAGCCTTACGCGCATGGCCCTGGTGGCTATATCACCGAGAACAAAGTCGCGATGCTTGCGAGCGAGAACATTGCGCCATCGCGTCGCCGCACGCCTGCAGAGTGGCACGCCCACTTTCGGGATGGTGAGTTTTTTTTTTTTTTTTTGTAGCGCTTACTAGCAACAACACCCCTACAGTCTAAAACTCCCGTTCCGTTTAATCCTGGCAGCTGTGTATGGTTCGAATTGGCACTGTGACGGATCTGGCCGCCCTTTTGCCAGCCGACCGTTCGAGCTCGCCATCTGCAAAGGACTTGGCGGCAAGCGCTGCAACCGCTTCAACGTCAAGATCCCTGCTGTGGCAACAATTTGCCATGTGGTAAGTCGTTTTTCTTTTCCTGTTGGTCATTATTTTTTCAATACATATTAGATATGCACTCATGCCTTTGTGGTTTCCTGCAGGTGGAGTGGCCTATGGCAAACCACAATGGCCGTGCCAACCCCTCCCTGGATGCCTCTGATGAGAATAACAGGGCCGCCGTGGCTGCAAAGGTTCTTGTTGTCATCTCTTGGATCAAGGCCCGGCTCGAAGCACGCGAAGCTGTTTACTCTGATGAAGCTCCTGCAGGTTTTGTTATGGGCAGTGGAGCTGTGAAAATCCTCATCGAAGGATTTGAGTTTGCATTTGAAGGACTTGTGTAGGGCTACCGCAAGGTTGCTCTGTAGGATAGGTAGCGTTCTGACTCTATGTGTGCCTTCTAATGTAACTGTTTTATGAGAAATATAACGATTAATTCGGGTACTGTTTACTGGATGGGTGGTAAATGAATAGGTATGCGAATAAATTCTGTCTCCTTACATAAGGATAATCAACCTGTCCATGACAGTATAGTTTGGGCCAATGTAACACCATTTATGACAGACTTGAATAATGGCACGGCAATTAATAGGGATTTTTGTGCCTCCAATAAGCAGGCAATTATTGCACGCCTTTAACAATCGATAAACTGTGGGCCAGTTTCTAGACATTTGCATGCCATATACAGCCATGAACAAGCATTGAGGTAAACCTGAATATTGGCGTAAACAGCCATTCCGCGCGATATACAGGCGGGGAATTTACGGACCCTAAATGCCTACGAACCTGCCTGTATACAGCCCGCCAGTTTCGGGCCATAAACCTGCCATACAGAGGGTGATTATGGCTTTAAATTGCCATTCTTAAGGTCGACTTTTTTGAGATGGTGGTGCCGCCTTCCAGCACTGAGGTGACTGAAGATGGGAGTAGCGAGGAGGACGGGGAGGAGGATGTGGTGGAGGTGGAGGTGGTGGGGGAGGAAGAGAATGGAGAGGAAGAGGAAGAGGAAAAGGAGGAGGGGGGGGGAAGAAAAGAAGAAGGAAGAGGAAGGTGAAGTGGGAGGGGAGAAGGTCAAAGGGGATGTGAGGGGAGGGGGAAGAGATCGAAGGAAGGGGGGCGATAGAGATGAAAGTGGGTGCAGGAGTGGTGTGGTAAGGGGGGTGAAGGGCGGAAGTACGGAGAGGGAGCGGGCGATGCAGGAGGCGCAGAGGGCATGGGGGATTTGGGAAGAGATGCGACGACAGCAGCCCCAGCAGCCCCGGCAGCAGCAGCGCACCACATTTCTGCAAGCACGGGCTGCACTGGCACGTACAGCAGCACCTGCCGCCATCGCTCAGAGCTTGCAGGAGTTCAGACCGAGGACACAACAACCCACGGCTCTCCGTGCTGCACCCTCCGCATCCCTCTCCACCCCTGTGTCCTCACCTGTGCCGCTTGTTCTTCCCGTGCCCCTCGCTTCCCCCCCGCCTCCTGCTCCTCCTGCTCCTCCTGCCTCTCCTGCTGCTTCTGCTCCTCCTCCTCCTGCTGCTTCTGCTACTGTTGCAGCTTCTCCCATTGCTCATCCAGTCGCTCCTGCTGCTGGTACTCGTGCTGCTTCTCCTCCTTCTCCCCCTCCTGCTGTCGCCCCACGGGCTGCCACCCCTCCTCCTCCTGCACCACCAGCCCAGAACCGCACGAGGGCAGCCGCGCTGCTGGCAGCAGCACAGAGGAAGTGGCTGGCGGAGTGCCGGGCGCGGTTTGCGGCGTTTGAGTTTCCAGCGGCATGCACGGACAGAGTGACGGTGCAGTGGGAGGATGTGGAGCGATTGAAGCCAGAGCAGTTTCTCAATGACACCCTCATTGACTTCTTTCTCAAGTGAGTGCCGCTCCGCTCACAATGACTTTCGAGCTGACTCAAAATGTTGAGGCGTTTGTGTTTCGGGCGACGGGCACGGCCAGCGTGAGTGTGCGGTGGGAAGACGTGGAGCGGCTGAGACCAGAGAGGAGTTTCTCAACGACACCCTCTCCATGAGGGTGGTGGGGTTGCTGAGACTAGAGGAGATCTTCAATTCTACGATGCTCGCATTGACAATTATCGGAGGTGAGCTGGATGGTATAATGGGATATTAAAGAGAAGTCATATGAGCGAGCGGCGCTCTATGTCTAGGCATGACCAGGCAGTCGAACCTCACCTGGCCTGGCCTGGTTCAATCGTTTCCTTTTCAGATCAGCCCGGACCTTCTTTTGTGCCTATTTTGTGCCTGTGAACATTTCATAAAGTCACATCTTTCCCTCTGCCTGCCTACTCGCAGGCATCTGAAGGTGCAGGCGTTGGAGCAGGGCCGCATCGCCTGCTCCCTTGCTGGGCCCGACCAATCACTGCCTCCACCACCACTGCCCCCAGCAGCAGCAGCAGCAGCAGCAGCAGCAGCAGCAGCAGCAGTAGCAGCAGCAGCAGCAGCAGCAGCAGCAGCAGCATCAGCAGGTTGTGGGAAGGCAGGTGGTGGCAAGCAGGCAGGTGGGGCGAGGCAGCCGCCCCCTAGAGTGCATTTCTTCAACAGCTTCTTCTTCAAGATGCTCATCGGCGGGGAGAAGGACGACCCCTTCCCTCCCACCCGCGCTGCTGCTGCTGCTGCCACCCGCGCCAGTGCTGATGCTGCCGCTGCAGTGGCAGAGGCAGCGAGGGAAGGAAGTGGGGGGGAGGAGGGGAAGGCGGCGCACTGGCGGGTGCACAAGTGGACCAAGGGGGTCAACCTCTTCGCCTGTGACTTTGTCTTCATCCCTGTCAATCTCAGGTGGGTCCGTTTGTTTCGCTGTTATGTTCAGACGCATTGATGCATCATGCCTTGTGTGGGGCCACACCTATACGCTCCCGGCCATGCATACTGTTGTTCAAAGCAAAGCAAACCATGCGGAACAAAGCGTTTTTTCTACTTCGATCAACTGATAAGTTTCCACGCTATCATGCTCTGCTCTGTCTTACCCGCGCCATTCTCCTTTGCAGCTACCACTGGAGTCGTCTGGTCATCTGCCATCCCAACAAGATTCTTCCACTCCAACCACTGGCATCAACAGCAGCACAAGCAGCAGCAGCAGCAGCAGCAGAAGCAGCAGCAGCGCCACAACCGAAACCATCGAGACCTGAGTCACAGGCACAACCAGCAGCACCTCTGTTGCCAGTCGCTGCAGCAGCAGCAGCCTCAGCATCCGCCGCAGCATCTGTAGCAGCTGCTGTAGCGTCCTTGCCTTGCCTCCCTAGCCCGGTTGCGCCCAACATGCACGAGCCGGCTGTTCCCACACCCCCCGTGCACGAGGCAGCGCCGTGCATTTTGCACTTTGACTCGCTGCCCGGGCTGCACCAGGATGTGGAGGAGGCTGTGCGCACGTGAGTTGGAGGGGTTGTGGGGGGGGTTTGTGGGCCTGGGGGGGAGTTCATGGGGTGGGTTGCAACGCTAGGCCCGTCTTCCTGCGCCGTGCTGCTCGGGCTGCACCTGCACGTGGAGGAGGCTGTGCGCACGTGAGTCGTGTGTTGGGGGGGAGGGGGGAAGGTCCCGGGAAGTGTTGTCTGATGGGAGAAGGGTTGCGGTGGGGTGAACGGGTGATGGTGAGAGGCGGGGTTGGGGCAGGGAAGTGGGGAGGCGGTAGAGGTGGTTGGATTGGGCTCGTCTGCCCGCTGCATGCATTCTGCTCTGTGCTTTGACAGTTGACTTGCTGCTTGCTCCCACGGCTGCATGTGGATGTGCCTCTGTGACAATGTGGTTCGTGCAAAGAAAGGAGGGATTCGGACCGAGCAAAGGAAGAGGGGATGATGAAGGACAGAGGTTGGGGTTAGTTGAGGTGGGTGAGTGCACGGCTCTGTGTGCCTCAAGGCGCTGAGCTAAGTTGACTTGATGCATTCTACTCACTGCACCCGTCACCACCACCGTGCGTCCCCTCACCTTCCCACTGCCACCACCAAGTACCTCCAGGAGGAGTACCTCATGCGCCACAAGGCGCTGAGCTAAGGTGACTTGATACATTCTACTCATTGCACCTCTCACCACCGTCCCCCACCACCACCCACCACCAGGTACCTCCAGGAGGAGTACCTCGTGCGCCACAAGGTGCCCCTCACGCCTGCGCTCAGGAACGCCTTCCTCCGCCTGCCTGTGTTTCGCCCCAAGGTAATGCCAGCACACTTCTGCCAGCAGTATTTCCCTCTCGGCTCGAGTATTCGCCACACTGCTCGGTTATCCGCCTTACCCATTTAGGCTTTCTTTGTTGCATGGCATCCATCCGTGTGTGTTTGGCCTCTCCTCTTTGTAAAATTCCCTTTCATCCCTCATCCGATGTGCAGGTGCCCCAGCAGCCGAATCTGAGTGACTGTGGGGTGTTTCTGCTGCTGTACGCGCAGGAGCTGCTCTCTCACATGCCGCACACCGTCTGCCGTGCCGCTGCCTGCGACCAGTGCAAGCAAGTGGTGAGTGCGCCTGCCTGTGCGCTTGCTTCGTCCTGCTTGCTGCCGATGCGCTGTTTCCATTGTGCGAGGAGTTGTGTGGCGAGCAGGTAAGCATGTGGCAGTGCAGACACTGAGCGCAGGCATATTGTCGGCGGCGAATTGTGGCTTCTCTTTAGGCGCTGCAGGGATCATCTCTCTACACGAAGCCTTGCTACTGAGAATGCCTGTTTGGCTGGGTGTGACTGTTCTGCTGACATTGCTGCTTGATGGTTGGTTAGGACTCCATGGTGCAGTGTGGGCCGGCATCTCTCAGGTCTTCAACTCCTTCCTCTTCAACTCCTTCCTCTTCAACTCCTTCCTCTTCAACTCCTTCCTCTTCAACTCCTTCCTCTTCAACTCCTTCCTCTTCAACTCCTTCCTCTTCAACTCCTTCCTCTTCAACTCCTTCCTCTTCAACTCCTTCCTCTTCAACTCCTCCGTCTTCAACTCCTTCCTCTTCAACTCCTTCCTCTTCAACTCCTTCCTCTTCAACTCCTTCGTCTTCAACTCCTTCGTCTTCAACTCCTTCCTCTTCAACTTCTTCACTCTGCCTGCACGTGCATGCACCCTTCCATTGTCACCCGTTTTGCACCTTCCGTGCTCACACCCAACCAGTTCTCCCATACCAGTCCCTTCCAGCCGACCCCAGTGAGTCACTAGACCTGCTTCCACTCTTCCTCATCCCACTTTTCTCTTTTCTCCTCCTTCCCCTCCCCCCCCACCCTTCCCCCCCCAGCTGTCCTTCCTCTAGTTCACGCTCGACTCAGCCAAGGATATGCGAGCTGCCATCCAGCGCACGGTGCTCCTGCGGCTGCTTTTTCACGTTGTGCCCCATCTTTACTCTCTTTGTTTCTCTCTCCTCTGCTCCCCTCCACTCCCATCCCCCCCAGCTGTCCTTTCCCTGGCTGACACCCGACTCAGCCACGCCCATGGGGGCCGCCATCCACCGCACCGTGCTGCTGCGAGCTGGGCTGGCAGATCTGGTGGCGCGCGCACCCCAGCGCGAGGAGGCCGTGGTGAAAAAAGAGGAGGAGGGGGAGAGGGACGGGTTGGGGGAGAGGCAAAGGGATGGAGGGGAGAAGGAGAAGGAGAGGGAGAGGGAAGGAAGAAAGGAGGAGGGGAGGGGATGTGGGGTGGGGCGAGAGGGAGGCATCGTAGGGCTGTTGGCGAGGGAGATTCGCAGTGTGGAGGGAGAAGGGGGGAGAGGGAGGGTGCGGATGGGAGTGTGGCTAGACAGGAAGAGAGACGGAGAAAGGGAACGCACGATCAAGATCAGGCGCAACAGCGGGAGCAGCAGCAGGAGCAGAATCGGCGCGTGACTCAACGTCGCAGTTTGCATGCAATCATGTCGAGCCAAGAGGGAGGCACATCGGTCATTGTGCTGCCTCATGCTGGTGGGGGGGTGGCACCGAAGGAGAGCAGGAGCGGTGGGAAGAGAGAGGTGCTTGAAAGAGGTGCCTCCTGGTGGGAAGGAGGAGGAGGGGGAAGAGGGGGATGTGGTGGAGGTGACAGCTGTGGGGAAGAGGAGGCGGGTGAGATTGGCGGGGAGTGGCGCACAGGGGTGGGCGGATGGTAGTAGGGAAGACAAGAAGGAAGGACAGAGGGGACAGGTTTCTCGGAGCTGGTTGTCCGATGAGGTTGATATGGCGGAGGCGAGACGACGGCAGGGAGGAGAGGAAGAGAAGGAGGATGGGCGAATGGAAGAGGTGGGGTTGAGGGGTGGTGAGCAGGTGCGGGTGCCAAGGGGATGCGGAAGAGAGGAGGAGATGGGGGAGGAGGGAGGACAGCAAGGGACAGGCGAGGCGCAGGGAGAGAGCGGCAGATGTAAGGAGTCGTATTGGGTTCGAGGTGATGCAGGTCATGAGGTGGCATGCGGAGAGCATGAGCTGGCACGTGAAGGGCATGTGTTGATGAGTGATTCACCGAACGATGATGATGACACTGCTGCTGCTCTTCGTGCTCTTCCTCATCCTCCGCCTCCTCCTGTTGCCGCTGCTTCGGCTGCTGCTGCTGCTGCTGCTGAAGATGACAATGATGGTAATGGCGTTGCTGTTAGCAAGGCGTGTGGTGGCACCGGTGTTATTGCTTACAAGCGACGTAGTGGGCTGGGGAATGAACACGCTGTTGTAGCAAGGAAGCCTGGTGAGGGTGGGAAGGCATGTGGTGGTGGTGGTGTGGCTGCTACTGCTGCGACTGCTAATGACGATGACAATGATGGTAGTGGCGCTGCTGCTGGCAAGGCGTGTGGTGGCACCGCTGTTATTGCTTACAAGCGGCGCCATGGGCAGGGGGGAAAACACGCAGCTGCCAGCGACGGTGGTTATGCTGGAGCAAGCAATGGCAAGACATGTGGCATGAGAGACGGGACGAGAGAAGGGACAAGAGGTAGGAGGAGAGAAGGAAAACGGTTGAAGATTGATCAGGTGGCACATCAAGCAGGAAGGGAGGAAGAGGAATCAGAGGGGCAGAAGCAAGGGGAAGAGGCGAGAGAACGAGGGAAACAAGAGAAAAGAGGTTCTTGGGGAAAGTGAGGGCGGACAAGGGGTTGGAGGGGCTGTGTGGGAGCAGTGAGGCCGGCAAGTGGGCTGATGCAGCTGCAGTTTGCATCAGCGACTCTCCTGAGGAGCAGGCGTAGGAGGAGGAGGGGAAGGAGGAGGAGGAGGAGGAGGAGGAGGAGGAGGAGGAGGAGGAGGAGGAGGAGGAGGAGGAGGAGGAGGAGGAGGAGCAGGAGGAGCAGGAGAAGGGAAAGGAGGAGGGGAAGGAGGAGGAGCAGGAGGAAGAGGAGGAGGGGAAGGAGGAGGAGGAGGGGGAGGAGGAACAGGAGCAGGAGGAGGGAAAGGAGGAGGGGAAGGAGGAGGAGTAGGAGGAAGGGAGGTGGGGAAGGAGCAGGAGGAGGAGGAGGAGGAGGAGGAGGAGGAGGAGGAGGAGGAGGATGAGGAGGAGGGGGAGGAGGAGGAGGAGGAGGAGGAGGAGGAGGAGGAGGAGGAGGAGGAGGAGGAGGAGGAGGAGGAGGAGGATGAGGAGGAGGAGGAGAAGGTAAGGTGGAAGGGAAGGAGGATGAGGCGCCCAGCAATCTTCCACTCCCCCTCCCTCGCTCGCTCAGCAGTGTGTTCCTTGTTATCATCCACCTCATGCACGAACCATCTGTTCCTCCTTATCACAAATCCTCCTTCTCTTCCCACCACCACATTGATCTCCTCCCATTCCAGCATTACAGCAGAACCATAGCCTTTGCACCTGCAGACAACACCTTTCCCTTCTTTCACCATCTCCTGCATCAAAACCACGTGCTATCACCCACTCTCCCCTCCACCCCCCACCCCTCCTCCATCCCAAGTTCACATCACTTTCCTTTCCTTCCTCTTCATCTTCCCATCAGAGTCCCCTCCCCCACCACTCCAACCGTCACCCCACCCTCGTTTCTCCCCTACTCCCTCCTACCTCTCCTCCTTGGTGGTTCATGATGGCAGCAGAGAGGCGCCGCAACCCCATCCCTACCTTCCCTTTCCCTGCCCCACCTCCTCCTTCCCCCCCCACCCCCCATCTCCCCTCAGCTGCCTCGGCATATTGCGTGGCGTGCAGGGAAGTGAGGTCGCCAGGGAGGTGATGCGTGGAGCACGGACGGAGCCAGTATGGCTGGAGCGGGGACTACCGTATCATCACTCCAAACAGCTCATGGTAGGAACGTCTCACATGTGGAGCCACATTAGCAGCCATCTGTGGGCTCTAGGCAGCTGTTCAAGCACACCTCATCCCATTGCTTGTTCCTGAAACGCAACCCATTGCTTATCTCCCTGCCCTTTACCCATTCCTGCCCTTCTCTTATGCACATCTGCCCTCCTTCCATGCACACACAGGCCCGCTTCTTCCTGATTCTCCGCTGCCGTCAGTCATATGCCAGCTACCCCAGCCAGCAGAATGCCCTCATAATGGCCTCTACCCTCAGCATTAGTCCTCCAGACCAGGAAGCCACTGTTGCTTGTATGGTGTCATCTTGGATTAAGGGTATTGAGATTTTGCTTTTTCCAAAGGTGCTAAAGGTGCCTTTTCCATGCTCTTGACTTTAACACTACATTAGTGACAATACCAGTTATTACTAAAAGTACATTACTGCTGCTGGAGCACATCCAAGATTTATATGGTACCTTTGCTAAGAACACTGTCAATCTTGCAGATCCTAGGTGAACAACATGTGCTTTACAAAAGCAAGGCAGCTTCAGTTTCCCCAATCATACCGTAAACCTCTCCACACAAAGGGCAGCCAAAAATCAAAAGCCAGAAACTCATGCGGCCTCCCCTCCCTTCATGCACAGAAGACCAAACAGCCATGTACCGGTATCAGCGTCTGCCCAATCCAACTGCAGTCTTCAAGTTCCACATGACCGCTCTTTAGTTCGCTGCAATGTGCAACAGCATTCCATGACCACTATTCAGCCGTGTACAACCACCGTTACAGCCAACTATTTCCTCACCTCGGCTTCCCCTAGACACTCACAGTCACAGCCAACTATTTCCTCACCTCACCTCCCTTTCCATCATCACTGCCTGCACCTTCCTAACCGCCAGACCACTTCAATATCCACAAGGCAATCCCCTTCTGCCGGCCAGAGAGATCTCAGCTTGGTCAGGGCAGTCAGCTGCTGCAGCCCATCATCCGTGACTGCCGTGCCAACCAGGTGAAGCCCCTCAAGCCCGGTCAGCTTCCCCACGTGCACCATCCCAGCATCTGTCACACCCTGGCAATCCGAAAGGTGCAGCACTTTGAGAGAGGATAAAGCAGTTAAGTGCTGCAGCCCATCATCCGTGACTGTCGTCCTATTCAGAACAAGTTCTTGAAGTCCAGTCAGCCTTCCCACATGGACCATGCCAGCATTTGTCACTCCCTTACATCCAGAAAGCCATAGCCGATTGAGAGAGGAGAGAGCTGTCAAGTGCCGTAGACCAGCGACAGTCACCTTCGCCCGGTGGAGAAAGAGGCTGTCAAGACGGGTCAAGGACCCAATGCCTTCCAAGGCACAGTCCGAGACGACCGTGCCATCCAGGTCAAGCTCTGCCAGACGTGGCAGCTTGTAGAGGTGCTTGATGCCCTCTGCACTGAAGGATAAGGCAGAGGGCAGGTTAACGCCCGTCAAGTCGGTCCTGGTGGACACAAGGTGGAGCGCTGCATCTGCTAGGCCGTGGTCAAACCTCAGATCCAGATTGTTCTTCTTTGTTGCCGATTCTATTGCCTGGCTTATTTCCAGCTCAGCATTCAGCTTCAGATATTGTATCCTATACTTGTCCTTACAGGCTGTCAACTCCTGCACCTCCGTCCTCTCCTCTTCCGCAGCAGACTCCAATCTCATATCTCTCATATCATGTGTTCTCTTTCTACTCTTCCCTCCCAGCCCGCTTGCATCTGATGCCCCACTACTCTCAGCCAATTTCTCCGTGTGTTTTGCCAACTCCCCCTTCACGTCAGCCAACTCCCCCTTCACCTCAGCCAACTCCGCCTTGACTGCTGCCAACTCTCTCACCCTCTCCTTCATCGCAGCAGCAGCTGCCTCGTTCCTCTCCTCCGCAACGGCCAGCATGTGCCGCAACTCATTCACCTCCTCCTTGCGTGCAGCCAACTCCTCTATCACTGGTGCCAGCGCCGCCTTTGTGATCCACGGACTCAGCGCACTCAGCGCTCTCTCAGCAGCCATTTAGTCCACTCACTCCCCTCACACAGCCCACTTTTAATGACTGAGCCCTCCGTTCAACTGCCCTTTTCACTGCAGAGGGATGCGGAGCAGAGTCGTGCTGCCTGAGTAGGGCAGGGCTCAACGTCTTGAGGAAAAAGAAAGACGTATAAAGAAAAGAGGGACAAGGGGCATGGTCAGCCAACGAACAAGACCAATTACAGGGTCGTGAGGGATGAGGCAGTGATGTGAGAAAGAGAGCAGATCAGGAGCAGCAGAAGAGGGAGACTTGACTAGGACACAGAAGGCTGGTCCACAGAGGGCTGGTACGCGGGTGGAGTAGTGTCAGCCACATACAATGAGCTCAACGAGCAGAGCAGCATGAGTGACCTATGTACAACCGAGAGGAAACAATAAAGTTAAACGCAGTTGTTGGATAGAAAACGGGGAGACAGGAGCGCGGGAAGGCTAGACGAGTAAAAACAGGCAGATGTCTTAGCTTCGTTTAAGAGATAAAAACAGGTATTCATTGTGTGAATAGACAACAGACACTACACCAGAACTTGACATCAATAAAAGTGTGGGTGGGTGGGGAGGGCCACAAAAAGTGGAGGTAGAACCAACAGCACTTGCGCGAGAAGAATCCGGGAGGGAAAAAAGAGCATGCTGGGATGCTGCATGAGGATGCGGAGCAGCACTGACCACAAGGTGAAAAGTTCAGCTCAGACTGACAAGAAACCTGCCAGCTCTTCTCCTTACTGCAGCCAGGCAGGCGAGGGAAGCCGGAGCGAGCACACAATCAGGGGATTTGAAAGAAGAGGGCAAGGGAGAACAGAAATGGTAGTGAGGAAAGGGCTGAGCGATGGCTTGGTTGTTTGAGGTGCTCTTTGAGGCTTCCTGTGTCTACCCACAGCGAGCTGGTCCGAGACAATGGGACTGACCGGAACCACAGCAACTCGGGTCGCGCTGCTGGTTTTCTACAACACTGATTTTTTATTGATACTGACTGATGCATTCAGAACCTCATTCATTCATAGATCCTCCGTGGGTTCAAGTTGGCTAGCATCGTGAAACATGCGAAATCCATTGACCTGATGGATTACACATGGAGGAGGTCGAGACAGGGCGTTTCACGAGTCACGAGTAACAAGCTAGGCCAAGTACAGGCTAGGTCGGTTACGACAAGAAAACAAACTAGGTCACTCAGAAGCTAGCTCGGTCACCAGATAGGTCACGCATAGGCTAGGCCAGTATAGGCTAGGTTAGTTACAATCTGAGTCAGTTCGAGACCATGTTACTCACGTAGGTCACGTATTGACCAGGTCAAATATCGGATAGTTCACTCACTGGCTAGGTCACTGACTGGTTACTTCAGTAGAAACCTAGGTCAATCAAGCACCAACCCCCCCCCCCCACCCCCTAGAAACGAGGTCAGTCAAAGCCTATGTCAGGCCAGAGGGTATGTTGGTCGCAGGCTAGACTAGGCCCAAGCTAGGTCATTCACAACATAAGTCAGCTGGAGACTGCGATGCAGCAGTCCTAAGGTAGATCAGTCACCGGCTAGGTCAATCACAAGCAAGGCCAAAAAGAAGTTTGGTCACTCAAAAGCTAAGCCAGTCACTCACAAGCTAGGTGAGTCACACACGCTAGGTCAGTCACACACGCTAGGTCAGTCACACACGCTAGGTCAGTCACACACGCTAGGTCAGTCACACACGCTAGGTGAGTCACACACGCTAGGTCAGTCACACACGCTAGGTTAGTCACACACGCTAGGTCAGTCACACACGCTAGGTTAGTCACACACGCTAGGTCAGTCACACACGCTAGGTCAGTCACACACGCTAGGTCAGTCACACACGCTAGGTCAGTCACACACGCTAGGTCAGTCACACACGCTAGGTCAGTCACACACGCTAGGTGAGTCACACACGCTAGGTCAGTCACACACGCTAGGTCAGTCACACACGCTAGGTCAGTCACACACGCTAGGTCAGTCACACACACTAGGTCAGTCACACACGCTAGGGCCAGAGTTAGGTACACCAGAGATATAGTAATGTGCAAGTTTGTTCAGTCAATAGCTAGGTTGGTCACTCTGTCTAGGACACTCACATAGAATTGATCTGTCAATAGACAGGCTAGCTTCAGGCCTAACAGAAGATACAACACTTCGTTCCCTCCAACATTCTCATATTTCATGATTCGTCGAGAAATGTTGAAAAAATAGAAACACTACTGCCAGATCGCCGACAATCAACTACACCTTGCCGCATCTACAAAACCCATTAATTCCTTCCCACACAAATCTACTCTACTACACTCACTTCTCTCGCACACCTCCCTACAGCGAACCCCCTTCCGTTTATTCACACGCCTAGCCTATTTCAGTCCGCCATATCTCTATCCTAAACGCCCATCCATAACGAATCTGTATCTTGGTACTTCTTTGAATATCAGAACAAACAACTTTCCAGCATACTCCACTCAGACTAGGTCTGTCACTACCTTGGTCAGTTGGGGTCGACGTTGTTTCAAAGGCTAGGTCGGTTACAGGCCAGGTCAGTCACAGGAAGTCCCTCAGAAGGTACGACAGCTACAGGCAAGTTCATCACAGCACAGGGTAGGTCAGTAGGTCAGTCACAGGGTAGGTAAGTCACATCGCACGCAAGGCCAAATAGAAGTTTGGTCACTCTAAAGCTAAGCCAGTCACTCACAAGCTAGGTCCGTCACTCAAAGGCTAGCACAGCTGCGCAGCTCTAACGAAAATGACTCTTTTCAAGCATAGCGCGAAACAACTGCATCAGATGTAATGGCGCAGATTCAAATGAGGACGTCAAGTATACGCGGATGTGTGATGATGCGACTTGCAGCAATCCGAGACCATTCAGTCATTGTTTTCGGGCAATGCATTAGTAAGTGGAACCCCGATTGGCGTAAGATTGCCCGAATAAGAGAATTGAGGCGTGGCGCCTTCACGCGTGATTCTCAACTATTGACTGCATGATCCTTTTTGCACTAAGCTCTAAAAACAAATGGAGACGCCGGTTTGGAGGCAAGGGCGAGAGAAACTGAGGGTAGAGTGCATTTAACGACTGAAAACCATCGGCGAAAGGAGGGAAGTGAAGAGAACGACTGCTATTCAACAGAATGATGATGAGGGTAGTGCGTTGTGCGAGCCGAGATGATAACGGGATGACGGGACCAGCCTTACCTCAGAATGGCTTTCTATGGTTCCGCAGACTGAAACGTCGTGAGGCTAGGAGAGGCAATGACGCCTACTAATCAGAGTGCTTGTGCAACGTCGTAGTCACGCAGATGGCTAATAACGGTGCCACTAATGGCTATGAAGAGCAGTTGAGTGATGTCGAATGGTTCTGCTCGTGACTCGTGCTGCGTTTCAAATTGTCATGCAGGGTCGCCAGAGCTCGCCTCATTCAACGATGTGCATAGCAGGTGCGAAAAAACAGCTTCGTACATGTGTCGTCACGTAAGCGAAAGTACGCTTCCAAATTGCAAATGTGTTAGCAAAACCCGTAACGGGTGAGGGCACTGGCGGTGCATCTCGCTCGAAGCACGTACTTGGGTGAACTGAGAACGACTCGGTGACTTGCGAATTTGGTATCGAATCACAAAATTCAACGCACTGCTCGTTTCGCGACCAGCTGTGGTGTTTTGCAAACGCTGGGATGGTAACCGTTCAGAAGTGCAGAGCATTGAAGTTTGTAAGGATTTACAAATCCTTACTGAGGCACTCGTTGGCGAGGCCAACCTGAGGGTCACGCGACAAACATGTCCTTCCTATTTCGTCGCACCGAACCACTCCCGAGTCGGCCTCCGCTCCAATCGCAATCATCACTGAGCCATCCTCGCCCAACCTCTCCGCCTAGCTAGGACTTCCCCTATTTAGTCGTGCCTTTCTCATTGTATCGTCATGTCAGATTATAATGCATGTCTAGTCTGTAGTGGGGTACTCAAAAGTGAGTATAACCCTTTTAGGGCTCACTACTTGTATCCCCCTCCTTTCTAGTCGAACCCTCCCTCTCCTTCTAAAATATCTCGACACTTTCCTTGCACCCTCGAACTCAACTACCAAGGCACCTAAACCTATGGCTCCTAAGCCAAACTCGTCTTAGCTTTTAACATGTTATCAGAGCTGAACGCTCCTGGCCTGTGGGCCCACTCGATTCCGCTGCCCTACTGTGTGTCGTGCGCCCCGTGGCGCGCGACATCCTATTTTTCTTCCCGCCACGCGCTCCGAGCGCGTGGCGGTTTTCTACCCGCCGTGCGCCCCGAGGCGCGCGGCGGGTTCCTACCTCGTCGCGGCGTCTTGGTTGCCCGCGCACTGGCCCCGACCGTCGCCTCGTCGCGGCGTTTTGGGGGCCCGCACGCAGGTCCCTCCCGTCGCCTCGTCTCTGCACTTTCGGGGCCCGCGAGCCGGCCCCTCCCGTTGCCTCGTCGCGGCGCCTTAGGGGCCTGCGCGCGGTCCCCTCTCGTCGCCCGTCGAGGCACTTTCGGGGGCCTGCGCGGCTCCCTAGCACGTCGCCCGTCAGGGCACCCTGGGGGCCGCGCCCTTCCCCTCCCCTCCCTCCTACTTTCCGCTGCAGCAGCAGCCCCTGGAGCAGCCGCCCCAGCAGCAGCAGCCCCTGGAGCAGCCGCCCCAGCAGCAGCAGCCCCTGGAGCAGCCGCCTCAGCAGCAGCAGCCCCTGGAGCAGCCGCCCCAGCAGCAGCAGCCCCTGGAGCCGCCGCCACTGCAGCAGCAGCCCCTGGAACAGCCGGCCCAGCAGCAGCAGCCCCTGCAGCAGCCGCCCCAGCAGCAGCAGCCCCTGGAGCAGCCGCCCCAGCAGCAGCCCCTGGAGCAGCCGCCCCAGCAGCAGCAGCCTCTGGAGCAGCCGTAGGGGGGTGGGTGTGGGTGTGATGGTTGTGGGGGTGTCGGTTGTGCGTGCCGTCCCCTCCTCCTCCTCCTCCTCCTCCTCCTCCTCCTCCTCCTCCTCCTCCTCCTCCTCCTCCTCCTCCTCCTCCTCCTCG